CCTTGGCCTCCTGCTCCTCCTCATATTGTTCCCGGAGCAAGTCACAGTCGTGGCGAGCAGACTGCAGGGCGTGGGCCAGGGCATTCTTGGCCTGGATAGAGAGTGGGGTTGGGTCAAGGAATGGTAATATCCCAAGAAATCTGTTGCAATGAATTAATTTCACACTACGAACATGACTGGTGGAAGAGTTTTTGTAATGAAGGACAGATGTAAGCCTGGAGGACAAAATCCATTAATCAAACTTGTTGCAGAAACAAAGCCTTCCCCCAGGATGGTTTTTGCTAAGCAGATCCTGTCCCCACTAGGCAGTGTGAGACTACAAGTGTTCTCAGTGACCAGTGGTAAGAAATTAGGAATAACCTTGATTTCTTCCTCCAGATGCCTCTTCAGTTCCTCAATCTGTTGGGTGAAAGCCTGTTTGCCTCTTGACAGCTGAGAAATAAGAGCATCTTTCTCATCTACCTGGCGTGAATATTCACCTGGGGAAGCATACCAATAAGAAGATATTCAAATCGTCATTTATGCTCCAAACTAGCTGGTTTAGGAGTCATGCCCAAACATGTGGGAGTTTCTTTCACCTGCTTCTGTCTGCAGACGAGCTCTTTGAGTATTGAGGTCATTGATCATGCGCTGATGCTCTTCTTCCTTGGTCTTAATCTCACTCAGCTGGTCTTCCAGTGTGCGGCACATCTTCTCCAGGTTGGCCTGTGGACATCACAGGGAATGAAAGCAGATTAATAGCTAGATGCCTTCTTGTTCTCAATAGTAGGATTCTAATAAGAAAAAATGTGAACAGACTTGGAAGTTATAGACTGTTCCTTGGAGTTAGAAAGTTAGGAACAGGTTCTGTAAAGATAGAGTGAGTTGGATGGTAACCTAGCCGTAATTTTAAAGGATATGGTTCAACATTTATCTTCATGTTGTTTTTTCATATTTTTCCATACCTTGGCTTTGGAAACAGACTCCATATTGCTGGCCAAGTCATCAATCTCCATCTTCATCTCACTCTTCTCCTTCTCCAGCTTCTGCTTCACACGTTGCAGGTTGTCGATCTGCTCCCCCAGCTCAGCTGT